ACCAAACCAGGACTAACGGCAAGGAAAAGGTTCTGCTATGCATTTGGTGGAAGTTGCTTCCAAACGCTAAATTCTGATCTCTATTGTCAACAACTGGGCCGTTTGAAGATAGCAATTGAACAGAAACGTCCAGAATTGGCCAACAGTAGAGGTTTCGTGTTCCACAAGGACAACGCTAGGCCACACCCATCCAGAGTGTCTCGCCAGAAACTTAGGGAGCTTGATTGGTGTGTTTTAATACATTCGCAACACAGTCTGGACTTGGCACCATGCGATTATCATCTTTTTCTTGCATTGCAAAATTTCCTAGATGATAAAACAATTTGTATCTAGAGAGGCTTGTGAAAATCGACTACTAGAGTTTTTTTTTGCAAATAGAGCGCAGGACTTCTATGAGAGAGGCATTATGAAGTTACCTTTAAAATGACAACAAATCATACAACAAAACGGTATATATTTGGACATTCCGAAGCATGTTAAATAAAGTCCAATAGTTCATAAAAAAATAATGGACTTCTTTTTTTCCAACATAACATTTTGGATTGGGCAAAAAATTCCCTCAAACTATTATATTGAATCAAGTTTTAGGATAGTCCCCACATAATTGAACCTCCTATTAATCGTTATTTTGTAAATATTGATCGATCTTTGGGTCCAGCACATTTATAGGTATTCTGGTGATCTTAGGCGCATTTTCTGAACATAGTGATTATATAATATAGTACTAGCAAAGTGCCCGCTACTTCGTATGCGGAAAGGGAATACAAAAAATATTTCATATGGTATCGTAAATACTGTAAATTTGTTGTACTATAGTTTGCGATTTAGTACTCTTCATACACATAAGCATTATTTTCCGAAATCTCTCTTACTTCCATTAAACAGATTTAAACCAGTAAGGAAAGTAGTAAAGTACCACATGCAAAATTTCGTGCAAGTCGAAAGATATATGGGGACTTTGGTACACCATTTACATTAAATCGGACGAAGTTATATATGGGAGCTATATCTAAATCGGAACCGGTTTTCACGATGTTTAACACACATCGTTCTAGACGTAATTCAGCCCGCTGTGCCTAATTCGTGTAAATCGAAGGATATATAGGGAGGGGGATAGTGGTGCACTATTACCTAAAATCGGACTAAAATATATATGGGAACTATATTTAAATTTGAACAGATTTTTTCCCAATTTCAATAGGGTTCGTCCTTGGGCCAAATATGTGACGTATGCCAAATTTCATCGAATTCGGATCATAAATGCGACCTGTACTTTGTTTACAATTTAACATGGACAGACAGACGGACATGCATAAATCGACATAAAATGTGATTCTATGCATATAATGTGATACCGATGCCGAAATCGAAATTTAGTGCATTTGCTATTATATTTACTATTCGTACAAATCAATTTGAGTTTCTCTATAGCTAAATACTACACTTCAACAGTAATCTAAATTCCAAATCGCAGGATCCAACCAAATACAAATGGTTTCAAATATAGTACCATCATACTTATAAGTAAGAATTTCTAAAACTACATCAATCGTACTCTCCAACAGTAATCTTAATTCCACCAAAGTCCAAATTTAGTACTTTTCGTACTTACGAATTTCCAAATATACCTCAATCCTTACTTCAAATAGTAATCGTATGTCAAAATTTAAGAATTCCAGCTCTGCCTGTTCATCAAAAACCAAATTGTACCAGATTTGGTACCATTCTGTACTTTTCGTACCCATATTCCAAACTTTATCAAACCTACACCCCCACAGTAACCTAAAAGTACATTTACATATACGATTTTAAATCGACTCGATTAACGAAATCCAGAAATACACCTTAATTGTTTACACATACCCTTAATCATGATCTAAATGCCGAACAGCTGATGTTTGTTAGTATACATACAAAATTATTAATTTGCGCCAAAAATATTTGTTTGCAAATTGAAAAAGAATAGAAGAATTACCACAATGGAAATGTTTTTGTAATACTGTGATCGTTTGGAAAGTAAAAAAACACCTAAAAACAAAAATTCTATAATTAATTTTTATTTTCCTTTGATCTGTCTTTTTGTATTTGTCAGCCGTTAAATTTAAAAACAAACGGCATGTAAAAACAGTTGCAAATTTTGGTACATTGTGAGAGAGTTGTATTTTTTCGTACAAAACCCGCGTTGCATCTCAGTAGTACCATGATTTCGATCATGATTTAAAATAAATCCTGCTGCACGATGATTAAAATTTGTGTGGTAAATCATGGTAAATTCAGCCTGATTAAGAAAATAAACCCTGATTCAGCCTTTAATCATGATTAAATGTTATATGTAAATTCGCTTTAAGTTGCAACTTTCGGGATTCGAATTCTACCCGTTCACCAATGTCCAATTTGTACCAAATTTTGTGCTTTTCGTACCCATAAGTACGAATTTCCAAAACTACCCCAGTCATGTTCTTCAATAATAACCTTTAGTCCACATTTAAGGATTCCAGCTCTATCCGTTCACCACACTCCAACAGTAATTTTAATAATAAATTTCAAGATCCCAGCCCTATCCGTTCACATAAATCCAAATTGTAGCATATTTCGTACCATTTAGTACTTTTCGTACTTTAAGTTTGAATTTTCAATTTAATTTAATCAAAATTTCAGGATCTCAACCCTATCCATTGGTACCTTATATTATTTAGTAACCCATTATCACTCTAGAGCGCGGAACTATAGCGCTGATCGCATTGAAATGTTCCATAAGGTTCCAGTTATGGTCAAGGACAACGCCTATAATTTTCGGTGATGATCAGACAATAATTTTGGAATGAAGTGGACCGAAAACTTAATTTTTTGTGTTTTTTTCGAGTCGATATATAGACCACAAATGAAAGCCGAACATCACAACACAACCCACGGTGAAGGGAATCTGGACAATAGCTGTACTGAATACTCGTAATATTAGGAAAATATGTCAGTGTGAGGAAAAGGTGCTGTTTACCTCTAATCGGGCAAGAGGATGCCAATATCACGAAATATTGCCCAGGCTCCGAATAAACATCCGCAGAAAATTTGAGTTCCGTGGTAGTGGTGTAGGGTATCGTATGGTCGGCCCCGTCCGACTATACTGCTCCGCTCACTGGTTTTAAATTGCTCATGCTCGCATTCAAATATAATAATTCCAGTAATTCCATACGTCATAATCTGAATCGGAATCACAATACCTTGTGCATCATTGCACATTTGTGACGTTATTTAGCGACAGACATACATCCAAATTAACTTAAATCTTTTAATAAATTAACACAAGTGCACGTTCGCACAAGCAAAAAATATAATTTTAAATGTCGTTTCATATTCAAAGCAAACAACAAGAAAGTGCCGCAAACGTTCCCCACAATAAATGTCGCGTCAAACGTTTTAGAAGTTATATATATATATATATATATATACCTAATGTTATTTTGTAAACTGTCACTGCTGTTGAATATCACAAATTCAAAATTTCCTACGCCAAAACCAAAAATACAAGATAGAATTTATTACGATCATAGTGTACATGTGATCCATATTGAACAACAACAATGCTTATATTTTAATTTGGACACGATTTATTATTTTTTGTATTTATTTATTCTGATAAATGAATCATTCCGCGTATTAATTCTACTGTTGAGTTCATTCATTCCGAAAGTAAACGAGTAGAGGCGACGCCAGACCTAGATGTCATTATATCCCACAATTATTCCATTTCAAAACTTGCTACGAGTGTGTTTACTAGCAGACGTAGCGATAAAGTAAAAAACAGAGGAAAACAGCTGAGGCACATCTGTCAAGCCATTATCTGATTATTAATATAATTAATAATTGTATTTTGTTTTAGAAGTGTTAAATTTTAATTGAAATTCTAATTGAATGCTGCTGCGGGAGATTGTGTGAGTACTAGAGCTAATTGTTGTAATTTGAAGCGTATAAAAATCCGCTATATTTTTTGCTTTGATTTGCATTACTTCCGATATCGATAACAATTGCAATAAACCGCAAATACATTTATTTCTACGATACATGCAAATAAACTCATATTAGTAACACGCACCCACACATCGCTCCATATATCGTCAATGAAATACACTGAGCTATATCAACTCTATATATTTTCTTGATCAGCATAAAATTCTATACCGATTTAGCCATGTCTTAAGAAATTTCTATTAAGAAATTCGTGCCCTCAAGAGTTTGTAACGTCACGATATATTGATCCTTCAAATTTTAGTATACGGATCACCATATATCGACCAGCTAATTAAACCCACAAAGCATAAAAATGGAAAATATTCATCCAAATATTTATGAAAATCATTTGAGAAAATACATTTGCCGGTCACTGTATGAAAACTTCGGTCCCAGCTAATTTCATCGTTTACGTATTCGGCGGATTGTAGCATTTCCAACAATTTGATAACAATGAATAAAACCCTAACAATGCTGAAGCATGCCCGGCATTTGTTAGAACAATTCCATTGAGTGATACTCAGGCAAGCAAGCATTCATAGTTTCGAAAGGTGTTTCTTATCGCTCAGTCGCTAGACTTCTCATAAATAAAGGTACAATCTTAATCTCAAAGGTGTGTGTGTGTATCTGTGTGTAATTTCAGTGAAATGTCAACTACAACAAATTTGGGTTCCAGTCGCCACAGTCACACCCTATTCATAATAGCTGTATATATTCGTAAAATTTTCTTTAAAAATCCAACACTGTGAGTACCCAGATAAACGTCCAAAAAAATTGCCTGATTTGCATTTGAAGATGTTTGTCAGTTTTGTTTATTTTGAAAAATGTTTGTGATCTTGTTTTCGTTTTTTTTCGTTTTTTTTTTTTTTGCATTGATTTCTTCTTCCCAATAAGAAAAATTTTGAATGCCTGCCAGCCGTTATTTGCATTTGCAAATTCAAATGCTTCCTTAAAAATCGATCGATTCTAACACTTTTTATTTGTTCTCCTTTCAGAATGGGCTCATTCAATTCGGCGCCCAAAATCAATAATGTCGATTCACAGGATGATGGTCTAGATATACCGAAGGGTCTCAGCACATCGGAATTGTTGCAACATGTCAAACATTTGCGTGGCCTCAATCAACCGCCTCTATTGAGTCGTTACTTTTTGAAGCCAATGTCATCGATTATTTCATCGGATTTAACGGATGGTTTGCGTTGTTTGAAATTGAATTCAGTATCACGTGGTGAGTACAAAAAAAGAAAAAAACAAAAGTCGATATCGATTAAACGATGAAATTGGTCAAATTCGTAATTTAAAACATCCTCCGGAGACCCCATTATTAATTCTTATCAATGTCTGTCTGTGTATCTATTTTTACATTTTGCTACTGTTGATATTGAAACGGTTCACGTTTTGGTAGCCCCCATATATCGGTACACCCTGATATTAGGTTTTGGATTTTGGTTGGTTTATAAGTTTTTGAGCAATCGTGCCCGTCATTTGTAAAAAAACTGTTTCGGGAAAAAGCGTTTTAAGCGTTCGAATTAAATAAAAATATTAAATATTATCAATATTGATCCACTTTTATTATAGCCCAGATATAAACTCCCACCCTATGGCTTGCGGAGGTCTTGGATATAACACACAGGATTTATTATTTACTTCATATTAGGTATATTTTTTATCAATGAGGTTTCGGATTTAATGTGGTTCTAATCGGTTATTCAATTCGTTTCAAATTAAATTACAAGTCTCTAAAATATTTACCCTTTGTGGGGGAGGTACCAGAAGGAGAGGGCCGACGGGTCCCACCTTCGGCCAGATATTGGATTAAATATTGAAAATTTTGACCATTTTCACCCGTTGGTATCAGAAGGAGTGGATAATTTTGTCCCATATTTCGACTTCATCTAGGCATGCCAAAGATAATAGGTTGGTTCAAATCGAACATTCAATTCGCCTAAAATTGGCGAATTGGGGAGGCACCAGAAGAAGTGGACCGAAATTCCCGTACTGGAAGAAATATTACGTTGTACAAAGTTTGGATGAAATCGGTTACTGCCTTCGAGAGTTATCGTGCGTATCAAACAGACAGACGGACCGAGGAATGACATTTGATAAACCAGTGAGCGGAGCAGTATAGTCGGACGGGGCCGACCATATGATACCCTACACAACTACCACGTAACTCTAACTTTCTGTGGTTCTATATTCTGAAACTGGGCAATATTTCGTGATATTTGTACCCCCTAGATCGATTATAGGTCAACAGCTCCACTTTCTAATCCTGGCATATTTTCCATTTTTTTCATGAAGTGAATTTTTACGCTATAAAATAAAAAAACTGATCACTTTAGGTTTTGGTTGATTTGACCCTCGGAATATTGACCGATCATCATCTAAACAGCCCCTCTAAGTATTCGGTCACATCCCCTTCACCTTGTAAAATATGTGATTTTCTGCATATAATAATTGCCTCTAGAGCGACTAGCAAATCTGACAAAATTAAAATTTTCCGTCCATTGCACCATTGCACACCCTGAATGAAATCTCAACTTCACCGAAAACTAAAGGCGTCGTCCTTGACCATAATCGGAAATTGCTTTACAATTTCAAAGCGATCAGCGCGACATTTCCGTCCTCTAATGGAGTAATAGTAATACTATGCACATAGTCACATTTACCTTATTATGTATAACTCCCATATCTGAGCACATCCGACAATATAATTGGTATCAATTTAAAGGTCAACCAATCCTCTAGGATATACTATCAACTTCTCGGGTCTATGTCCTTCAGGAGTAAATATATACACCATAGAATACAAATTTTGTCATTTCTCACACAAAAGTCAGAGTCCATTTGACCTGCTAAATTTTGACCGATCTTTATCAAAACAGGCATGCTTATTCATGTAAAAATTCGCGATATTTGGGCCATAATTGCGGCCTCGGGAGCGATCAGAAAAACCGAGAAAAAGTAAGTATTTGGTCCATTTCATCCCCTAAATATTAACCGATATTTACCAAAAACAATAGGAGTCTTCATTGGCCAGAACCCATCCTACATGCAAAATTTCGTGAAGATTGGTCCATAACTGTGGCCTGTATCGTGTTTACAATTTATAATGGACAGACGGACGGACACACATGTCTAGATCGATTCAGCTAGTCGAGATATGACGATCGGTATACTTAAAGGTGGGTCTAGGACCAATATTTCGCGGCGTTACAAACTCTTGGGGCTGCACAAAGCTATAATACCCTGACAACATACAACTATAGGGTATAACTACGATCGTGGTGCTTCTGTGAACTTTTATAAGATCGCTACAGGCGACGAATCGTAGATTTTTGGTATAAACCCGAAACAAACAGCAATCGACCGTGTGATGAACAAAATCCAACGGAAGTTGTTCGTGAAACAAGCACTTTCCATCAAATAATCGCCTGTTTTTTCGACAAAACTTGTCATGTGGCGACTTTTCCGCTTGAGCAACGTACGATGATAAATCCCACAATTTTTTCCACCTGAAGTCTTCGGAGAAATTCGGTAAACGACCATAAGAAGCATTGTGCACCATGACAATCTGGCTCCCACCAGCTTAAACGGCGAACAACCATGATTCGCCACCCAAAGATTTCTTTGTAAACCATTTTTGATTTGTATATATATATAGAATTAACTGTTTTAAATACAAAAAACTTGCCCTGTCATTGTCTTATAGTCTCTTTCCAATATAATCTTAACAATTTCAAACCGATCTTACACAATATTTCAAATGTAAATCAATTTTTGCTATTGCAATATTATTTGTATCTTATTAACAATTGTATTGAATTGTAAATATTAATTTCTTTTTTCTCACCTTTTTTTCTTTACAGTCTGCAGTGCCCCAATTTCGGATCCAAATCATATTCGTCTGTTGCAATGGAATCTTTTGTCACAAAGTAAGTAATTCTTTCTTCGCTCAACCTCACTGGGCGATTATTGACTCTTTCTTTGTGTGTCAACCCAGCCATTTACCGGATGCTATTGCAAAAATTTGAATACGAAATTTGTCTTACATAAAGATATGTTGCGGTGGATTAATTTGAAATGTTGTATGCCGAAGCGTCTATTGTGGAAGAGCGTTTCTTTTTTATGAATGGTTATTTGTTTCCGAAAAATATATTGAATGAAAATAAATACTTCGGAAAGTGTGTAGAATAATGTTAGGGACAGTAGGTGAAGTGTTATATGAAATCATATGGAAGATACTTTATTACATATCGACTCATATGAGGTATTATATCTACTGAATGGATATATAAGGCCTTTAGTCTACTGAGGTCTTCTAAAAGTAGAAGACGTTTAGCTGTCTTTCATTCAAGAAGTCTTATAAATGATATAAATACATTTTATTTATAGAAGTCCTACAATGGTCATATAGGATCCATATTGAGTGCTTCTATCCTGATACCATGATTGAAGATAATAAAATTTTATAAAGAATCGATTCCATTATGAACGTTAGCACCGTTAGTTCTTTTCACACAAATTAAAAGAATTCTCAAATATTAGTTGGTATATCCATTCTTGTATCTATATATGTTTCTCATTATAAATGTATGGGTTCCAGACAACCCTATAAAACTTTCCTTGCACATTCCGAAAAGCCAACCATAGCAAGTTTGATTTTCAGTCGTTTCCTCTGGACGTCAATCATCGCCATAGCAGGTCACTAAATAGCCTATTCCCTTCGGATATTGTGTGTGAAAATTTATTAATTTGGTCATAATCGGTTTACCATCGACAGATGTCCTCCAGTATTTTCATTAATTACAAATTAAATTCCTCTTTTTTTCTCTTTCAGCCCTTGGCCAAAATAATGATGGTTTTGTTCGCTGTCCCGTAGAGGCTTTGACATGGGAAAATCGCAAATACCTTATAGTACAAGAAATTTTACAGCACAATCCCGATATTTTATGTTTACAGGTAATTACCGAAAAACCAATAACAACATACCCAATTTATAAATTTCTAAAACTATAATTTCTCTTCACATATACAGGAAGTCGATCATTTCAAATTTCTTCAAACCATTTTGGGAACACAAAATTACGAAGGCATATTCTTCCCCAAACCTGATTCACCATGTTTGTATATCGAAGAGAACAACGGTCCCGATGGTTGTGCCATTTTCTTCAAACGTGATAAATTCGAATTGCGTAACTTCGATACACGTATCCTGGAGGTATGGCGTGTTCAAAGTAATCAGGTTGCCATTGCCGTCAATTTGATTGTCAAACAAACTGGCCGTGAGCTGTGCGTCTGCACTACACATTTAAAGGCTCGTCATGGTTCGCTCTTATCGAAATTACGCAATGAACAGGGTCGTGATTTGATTCGATTCGTAAAACAATTTGCTGGCGATCGTGCTGTAATATTGTGCGGTGATTTTAATGCTGAACCCACCGAACCGGTCTACGAGACAATACTGAATTGTGAATTTATGAAATTGGCCAGTGCCTATGCTGAGATGCGTGCCGAGAGCGATGAGTGTAATAATGCCAGTACCAAGGACTCAATGCCGGCGATGAACGGTTGTGATAAAGTGCAGAAGTCTATACAAAATGAGCCACCCTATACGACATGGAAGATACGCGAAGATGGTGAGGAGTGTCACACAATTGATTATGTCTTCTATACCAAGGACCAGTTGAAGGTGAGAACCACCATTCCATTAAAGAATTTTGAATTGTTAGTAAATAACTCTGTCATTATATGTTCTAGGTTAAAAACTGTTTGGAATTCCCACAAGGCGATGAAATCGGCTTGAATCGTACGCCCAGCTTCCAATATCCCTCAGATCATTTCTCTTTGATATGCGACTTTGAGGTTTTGGATTCCTCGCAGGAATCATCAGCACAACAGCAGTCGCAACAGGAAAAAAATAAAGTACAGTGAACCTCCTAGATATCTTCTTCACACCCTCTGAGCCATGTGTTTTCTCTACTTACACAAAACCTGAAGTTTTCCACACACAACAAAAAGAAGCAATACCCCCATAAAAGTTTACATTAAATATGTAAACACGAATTTTACTTAATTAATTAATATAGATTTTAAAGAACGCCCCTTTTACATCCTAACATACAATCACACACACACACACACACACATCAACAGATTCACTCTTAACAAATTGTGATATTAGCTCTTAGATACAAAACAACTACAACAACAAAAATTAAAGAAAGAAAACGGAAAATGCATAAGCATAAAATTTACTTACAAAAAAAATTGACATGAAATCACATTCATGCATAATATATACAGACATACAATAATAACATTAATATTAATAGCAATAATAATGAAAGTAGTTTTGTAGTTTTCTTTGATTTATTTTTTTATTAAAAAAAACAACAAAAACATAAATAAAAATACATTAGATGTAAAACAATAAATATGTAATTTTATTAATGGTGGGGCGAAATCCATAAAATATAAAGAATTCTTCAAATGTAACACCATAACACTCGGATCTTCTGTCTATAGTGGATCTACAGAATGGTTTTGTTTAATAGTATTAAATGGATAAATATTCTTGTAATATACGAAAATTGTTATTTCGTCGTTATAATCTAAATCTTATAATCTAAAATCTATAAATTTGATTCATCACAACCCCGGGATATTTTTCATAATTTAAGTTGTTAATAGCTTGTCTTTTTATATCAAAATGTCAGGGGCTTAAATACTAAGCTCAGAAGCCTATACATAAAACGTTTTTATGTTGATTATAAGTGATTGTGTTCACAGAAACATGGCTTAAGTCTGATATTAAAGACACTGAATTTTTTTCTGATAGTTTTCAAGTCTATAGAAAAGACAGGTTAGACAAAATTGGTGGTGGTGTTTTGATTGCTGTCCACAACCCAATTTCATCTGAACTTGTATATTTAGAAACTAACCGTAATGTTGAATTAATTTACGTAAAGCTATTGTATCTTGGCACTATTACTTATACATCTTGTTCCTATATTCCTCCTAATTCGGATATTGAGATATATAACAGACATGCCGATTTAATAGGCTACATCTCGGATTTACTCTCTGAAACATCTTTGTTAATTTACATGGGTGATTTTAATCTTCCAAATGTTTCTTGGGTGGCAGGTGACACAAATTTAGATTTCATTCCGGCGGTAAATAATAATACTGGACTAGATACTTTTTGGGACAAAAAATATATGATAAATGTTTGTATCAAGTTAATTATATCTTAAATTTTAAGGATCGGATTTTGGATTTAGTATTTTCACCCACGTTAAATATTTCTCTAAACAGAGTTTCACCCCTTGTAGAACTTGAAGACAAGTATCACCCTACGTTTTCAATAATCATATTGACGCGTGTGTTGCAAATTTCTACAATGAACTCAACAGTGCTTTTTCCAAATGTGTTCTTTGACTAAATGTTGTTGACCAAAGTCCTGCCTAGTTTACACCTTCTTTAAGGCGACTGCGTAATATTAAAAGTAGGCTCTTTAAAAAGTTAAAAAAAACAATACTTTTCTGCAGATCTACAACTACAAACCTTTTGGAATTCATTAATGCAGTTCACAAGGTTTTAGTAAAAAATTGCTGACTGATGTTATATACACCGATTTCAGCAAAGCATTTGATACGGTAGTTCATAAACTGTTGCTTTATAAACTTAGTCTTATTGGATTTCCTAATACATTCTTAAATTGGATATCCACCTACTTAGAAGGTCGTTCGCAGAAAGTATTACTTAATGACTCATTATCCAGGAATATTACTGTCTTATCAGGGGTTCCATAAGGTAGACACTTAGGACCTCTTCTTTTTATTCTCTACATCCATAACCTTCCTTCCGTTATCCGCTTTTCAAAAATACTAATGTATGCTGATGATGTTAAGCTTTTCCGGCATATTGAATCTTCAAGTCATTCCAATCTTTTACAGTTTGATTTGCATTTTTGGCTAACTGGTGTAGCGCCAATGGAATGTTTTTAAATATTAATAAAAAATGTAAGAAGCTATCATTATTTAAAATGCACAAATAATTTATTATTTTTGTACAAATAAATTACATTATTCTGCTATTTCATATCATAGAAGACCGAAAGAAATACATTAACAATTGTAATAATGAAAATACAAGCAAAGGTAAAATTATTAACCCTTGAAGCACCAGCGACATCAGTCTCCTGATTAACATTGACTCTGCTGTTGAGAATGAGACTGACACCAACAATTACCTGAAAAAAAAAACAAATACATTTATAAACAAATTGAAAATATATTCAGAAGGGTTTCGAAAATCATAAATACGAGGTTTGGTTCACAAAGTCCAATTCCCAAAGAAAATATTTATTTATTATACTTGAAAGAAGAAATTTTATTTAATATCAACAACTACAACTTAATGTCGCAAAAATATATTCTCAACCAACTACTTATACACCCATACACACTTACAACTTACTTGAAAGAAAATACTTATCGATATGAAAACCACATTTGCCACATAATATGGATGTTTCGTTTCCATGTCCAAAAGTGTTCGCAATTGATTAACATTTGCTGTTAGCAGAGCCAAATCCATCATACCCTGACCATAGGTTTTGCGTTGTTGATAATTGTGAAAATCCGTTTTGGTTATATTCTCATTCGCATTTTCTTTTTTATCCTTTTTCGATTTGATAGCTTTCAAAGCATCTTCACTGACCTTAACTGATATAGTTAAATAAAAATTAAAAACAAACAAAATTATATACGAATATAAATTAAAATCTTACCACCAGCGGAACAATAAAAACAACTCCATGGTGAACGTTTCTTGGATCGTTGTGGCTGTGGATTGGCTGAAAGTAAATTTTCTAAAGGAAGAACAAATCGAATTCGTATTCTTTAGTATTTCATTTTGAGTTTTACCTTGTACTTCACGATTTGGTGATGGCACATGTTCCATTTCAATATCCTTTAAATACAAAGAAGGGAAGGAAATGTAAAAAAAGAATATGAAATAAGTGAATACTAAGTGATAACAATAAAACTTAATGATAACAAATTATTTTCGTTTTTGGTTTGGAACAAATAGGCGGACGTTTGACAATTATAAAATATATACTATCTTATATATTACTTAAAAAAAAATCTGTAATAATTAGCACGATGAAACAGGTGGATGACCTTTATATTTATCTGAGACCATTGTCACTTTCCTCTAAATTGCAAAGTTCTGATTAAATTTTATAATTTATGTCATGACGTCGTTTGAAATAATCTAGCCAAGCAGGTCAGTTAGTCTTTTTCGAAATGTAAATCTCATATTCTGCGCCATTTTGACTGATTTCTACAAACTGGAACTTATTTGTGTGCAAACATTTCCACTGATATTTTCTTTTATTTTTGTAGTCAGACATACCTCATTTGTGGAGCACATTTTTTGACCAACGCCCGTGGAAATACTTAATTCCATGTTCGTTTTCTTTTTCCAATTGCACTTCCGATGTATGTCTTATTGACACTAATGTTCTGCACCGACTAGAAAACCTCTGCCTATGTTATTGGCATGGTAAGTTATTGGATAACCACAATTGAATATAAATATCTCACATTATTACTCAGCAAAGGTTTTAATAATAAATTTAGTAAAAATACTTTAAAACTATTAAAAGGGTATTGTAATTATAGGTACGAAAATAATCGAATGCGGCAAGCTGCTCTCAATCCCAATATTTAAATATCATTTCCCCTTTTCATTCTTCTGAGAACGAACATCCGGCATAAGCGGAAGAGTATTTCCCGTTAGTCCAAATCCGATTCAGACAATTTGGAGTCGATTTACAAATATCCGTCAGTCACAAGAGAAAAGAGTAACCGATATCATCCACACTTTGCACATCGTAATATTTCTTCCAGTCCTAAATCAAGTTTGAAGATGAGGATTATCGGTACACCCCACAAAAAGGCCAACATTTTGCTACAAATTTATTTTATTTTGTAATATCATGCGAATGTACAATTCGATTTTAACTACACTTTACACAACCTAATATTTAACCATACCTTTATAATGTTGGAAGATCGGACTTATCGGCCCACCCTTTTCGTTCCTCTCACAAAAGTTTTAATCTTCTAAAAATCACAATTCATTCAAATGTTATTTAAATTTAATGAATGCGACAAAACGCCATCTATTGATGTAGTCCATTGAAAAATGTTTTTGTAATAAAAATTGATGTCATATGAAATCTAAAAAGTCTGGCTATTTCGAAATACGTTCGTATTTTAATAAATTTGAAGATTTTTATGTGAAAAATTATTTTGGAATTTACGTTTGTAAATTGACTGTTAAAACTGGATTTAAAAGTTAAAATTGTCGTTTCTATAATAAAGAAAATAAGTCCCCTACAATATGACACCTGATTTGTGTTACTGTCAGTGGAAGACAATTCTGAAGAAACCCCAATAAGAAAAGGAAAAAAGTTGGTCTGAATCGACTATATAATACCCTACACTATTTTTGGTATATATAAGAGATTTTTGTACGATTCTTATAGTAACCAACATTAATATTTATACATATTCCGCAACTATTTAAAATATTAGTTTGGAGAAAAATAAATCCATTTTTTTATATGAACTATATGACATTATTTATTTAACATGCTTCGGAATGTCCGACTTCGGCCAAATATGCACCGTTTTGTTGTATGATTTTTTGCCATTTTAAAGGCATTTCTCGATCATTTCTCCGATTTTATCGACATTTTCGACCCCCTTATATATAGTTTTTATTTTGACATTAGATTAAAGGCCTTATCTTTTTTATACCCTTCACCACACTGTGGTACAGGGTATTATGTCTTTGTGGAAAATTTAAACGAGATAGACACATGGTTCCTTTTGAGAATATGCATAGAATCACTTTCTGAGTCGATTTACGCATGTCCGTCTGTCCGTCCGTCCGTCTGTCCATGTTAAATTGTTAACAAAGTACAGGTCGCATTTGTGATCCGAATTGGATGAAATTTGGCATATGTCACTTATTTGGCCCAAGGACGAACCCTATTGAAATTTGGAAAAATCGGTTCAGATTTAGATATAGCTCCCATATATATTTTCGTTCGATTTAAGGTAAATGGTGTACCAAAGTCCCGATATATCTTTCGATTTGCACGAAATTTGGCACAGAGTACTGAGTTGGGTCCAGAATGATTTTTGCCAAGTTTCGAGAAAATCGGTTCAGATTTAGATATAGCTCCCATATATATTCGTCCGATTTTAGGTAAATAGTGCACCAAAGTCCCTATATATCCTTCGATTTTCACGAAATTTGGCATAGCGTACTGAATTAAGACTAGAATGATGTGTGTTAAGTTTCTTGAAAATCGGTTCAGATTTAGATATAGCTCCCATATATATTTTCGTCCGAATTAAGGTAAATGGTGTACCAAAGTCCCTATACATATTTCGATTTGCACGACATTTGGCACAGCGTAATGCATTAGGTCTAGAATGATGTCTGTTAAGTTTCTTGAAAATCGGTTCAGATTTAGATATAGCTCCCATATATATTTTCGTCCGATTTAAGGTAAATTGTGTACTAAAGTCCCTATACATCTTTCGATTTTCACGAAATTTGGCATAGCGTAATGAATTAGGTCTAGAATGATGTGTGTTAAGTTTCCCAAAGTCCCTATATATCTTTCGATTTGCACGAAGTTAAGTTTCCTGAAAATCGGTTCAGATTTAGATATAGCTCCCATATATATTTTAGTCAGTTTTCCACGAAATTTGGCACAGCGTAATGAATTAGGTCTAGAATGATGTATGTTAGGTTTCCTGAAAATCGGTTCAGATTTAGATATAGCTCCCATATGTAATGAAAATGTTTTCGTCCGATTTAAGGTTAATTTTGTACCAATTTGTACCGATTTGCCCAATATTGAGCATGACATATTGAATTAAGTCTAGAATGATGTGTGGTAAGTTTCGTGGAAATCGGTTCAGTTTTATATATAGCTCCTATATGTTTTTTCTTCCGATTTTATGTAAATTTTGTTCTAAAGACCCAATGTTTGTCCGATTGGCACACAATTTTGTAAAATGAACTGTAGTTAATATAAATGAATCTGTCAAGTCTCGTTGAAGTCGGTTCAGATTTAGACATAGGTGGACCAAACTCCTCATATTTATCAGATATTTATCGAAATAACAAACGGGTGTTCGATTTATATTTTTTTAAATAGTTTTAAATAATTTTGTCCCGTTGTAAGGAGCAACTTAATAGGTGAGCAAGTGAAACATTTAGTGTAGGTTGCAGAATGACATGTTTACGGTTCCAATTTAATTTTACTGGTCCTTTAAAATGCGAGGTCTGTTATGATTCATCTGTTGAATATACCCAAAGTGGTGAAGGGTATCATATAGTCGGCTCCGTCCGACTTTACTACTTTCCTTATTGGTTTTTATTTCAAAATGGATTCCAAATCTGGTTTTTACACTGAGATCTTGTTTCCCGATCTTTTTTCGGATTAAACATTTAAGCCGCAAATTTTGTAATATTTCACACAGTATTGGTTCTATCAGTAAATCCATCTGCCGAAAAAATAATGGAATTCTTTTTCCCCAACCTAATATTACATATTAGTCAAAAATTATTTGATTTAAACGTTTTTTATAAAGAATTTTAAAAATTTGTAGCATACCTTTAGGCGTTCAAATTTTTTATGTGTGTAGGTATGGAGTTTCCAGATTATAATTTTTGTTTTTGATCAACATTTTTATATTTTGATGGGCAACTTGCTATTTTATTCTGGTAGCAAAAGGCTGAGGCTGGTATACAAATAATGAGGATCTTCACCGATGGCATTTATCCTAGGGCATTATGAGTTTTTGAATTAACGCCAATCGCAAAAACACGCCTTAAATAAAAATAGAAATATTCAATTTCAGTAGTGTTGGCGGGTTATTTGGGATGCCATTTGTATTTTGTTTTTGCAAAATAGTCAGGCTGAATCCCAGTTTGTTGTTTTTATAAAAAAAACAACTATTTATTCTCATTTGGGTCGTATCGCTGGTAACGTAAGAACTTCGAATTGTCACAAGAGACATTTAGGTATGAAAGGTATTTTGTAAAGAAGCAATAAATAGATAATGGGGATAATATCCCAGCAAAAAACTAAGGGAACTGATGAGGATCAGTGGCGTGATCCGAAACTTTAGTCTTCTCTGCCTTACCCCTCGGTGGACAATGCCATACATACCCCACTAAATAATAGTTCTTTTTATAAAAACAACAAACTGGGATTCAGCCTGACTATTTCGCAAAACAAAAATATTCAATTTTTATGAAACTGATGGGCATTTATCATTGATTTTTGATTTCTTTCAGTATACGAAAATTTGTTACAAGTTTCACAAAAAACCGATTATTCACCTTGCTATTTAAGATGGAATATTTCTTTATTTGTCGATTGATCGAATTGTTGATAGGCTTTTTTTGTGGACATTTTTGGTATCTTGTTATGGAGTATTTTACCAAAATCGTTCGTTCGTTTTTGTCAATCGTTTTATGTGCTGCAATATTTACAAGCCAGGCACATATGTGATATACATACATATATATATTTACTTGAAGTGTTGAGAAACAATTAATGAATGCTTTTAGTAAGACAAAAAAAATATTTTAAAATGTATCTTAATTTTATTAACATAAAAAATTCACACAGTACAGTAAAAGCTTATTTATAAATGCATATAAAAATACAAAAATTTCAATATTTAGATTTACACAAATATGAGATATTTAGATCATAACATTTTTTTTTTTTTTTTTTGTAAATTTTATGTTTTAAAGATTCGCAGAGATCACATCGATGGGCGGCATTATTTTATTTAATTTTAATTAAATTTATATTCGGATCACAATGAAATATTCTTTCACTTATAGATATTTTTTGAATAACCTCAAAAATGTAACTAATCTAGAATATTATTTATTTTATTTGGGTGTGACACAAGTATTTTTAGGTGTTATTTTGTAATTAACATAATTTGTTCATTGCATTTACATTTAACATAAATTTTACAATTACAAATCTTAAAATAAAAAAATTATGACAAAAAATACTTAATACAATTACATTATTTTTAAATGGTATTACAAATTTAATATTCGAAACATAAATTATTCTATACAAATTGCTACTGCTCTTAAGAACAAAATTCGATTTCTAAAACTAATTTAGAAATATGTCCACATTCAAGTACTTCGTTCCGCGGGTTCTGCAACTCCAAAGGCCGATATGAAAACATTTACCACCGTTACAACAAAAATTCCAATAACCGTATAATTATTGATTTTATTTGCCCGGCAAATGTCCCGCTCATTTTTAATATTGTATTTACTATTCAGAATTAGGCCAACGCCTACGGCAATCTGAAAAGAAGACAAAAAAAAATAAAAATTTAATATAATCAATACATATCATCTTGGACACACACACACACACTCACCTGAAATACAATACTCAATGAAATGAATACCAAACTGGGATAATAATATGGATGGCGACCATATGATTCCAAAACATAACGCAATTGATTGGCATTTGCCGATAATAAGGCCAAATCCATCATACCCTGAGCCAAGGTTTTCTTGTGTTGATAGGCATTGACATCAGGTATGGGGGTATCCACACCATTGATTGTTACAAAACCGGGTCCATCGTAGCCGGGAAAACTAAAACTAGGACGTCTTGAAGGTCTTTCGGGTTTTCTGTCGGCCACACCATGACTCGCATCACCACCACCACCGCTGCCACCATTTGGCAGTAGTCCATCATCAACACCACTTCTGGGTCCTACAGCAAAAGGACGATCATCAAAGTCATCTTCATCAGCCTCAGATACTTTTTATATGGCGAAAGTATAAACAAATTGCAAACAAAAAATAGGAAAATAAGCAAAAGGTATAAGGAAAACAAAAAAAATATATACATATGTATATAAACTAGCTTTGTTCTAAGTTCATAATAATGGGGGAACTGGAATATGTTAAATTGGTTTGTGGTTTACTTACTTGTTTTGGGTACGTTTGGTGCTCTACCATCAATGAAATCAATATCTTCTGGAGGAAATGTTTCTGTTGCCTGAAATTAATAAAAAAAAATAAAAATTTTCAGTTTGTCAATTAAACAAAATGAAAAATAATTAAAAACCAGTGAGCGGAGCAGTATAGTCGGACGGGGCCGACCATACGATACCCTACACAAATTCCATGAAAATCTAACTTTCTGTGGTTCTATATTCTGAGATTGGGCAATAGTTCGCGATATTTGCACACTTTTGACTGGCTAGAGGTCAACAAATGTTACTAATAATCAGTAAAGCCTCTCTAATTACTTGTCCAGATTATCTTCACAGTTGGTTGTGTTGTGATGTTCGGCTTTCGACTCGAAAAGTACAAATAATTAAGTTTTCGGTTCACTTCACCCCACTCCCCTTGGATATATTATAAACTTCTCGGGTCTATGTCCCTCAGTGGTAAATATATACGCTATAGAATACAAATTTCGTAATTTTTCACACAAACGTTAGGGTCCATTTGACCCGCTAAATATTGACCGATCTTTATCAAAACAGGCATGCTGATTCTTTGGCCCGATCCCTTCGCGGTGTTTGGGCCATAATTGCGGCCTCTGGAGCGACCAGAACTTACTTACCTACTTAGCTGGCTTGTTACAGAACGGTTGTTCCATAAGCCGAGCTTAAAAAAGATTTCCAAGCGCGTCGGTCTTGTGCGCAAGTCCACCAATTTGGAAGACCACGTTCCAAGAAGTTGTTTTCTACTTGGTCTTTCCATCTGATTTGTGGCCTTCCCCTTCTACGGGAACCATCAGTAGGCTCATTTTTATATGCCTTTTGAGCTGGGGCATTTTCATTCATCCGCACAACATGGCCTAGCCACCGTAGTCGCTGCAGCTCAATACGACTTACTATGTCGATGTCCGCGTATAAATTGTAAAGCTCGTGGTTCATTCGACTCCCATATTCACCGTCGACGTAGATCGGCCCGTAGATCTTTAGGAGAATTTTTCTCTCAAACACCCCAAGAGCTGCCTCATCTGCTTGCGCAAGTACCCATGCTTCTGATCCATATAATAACACGGGTAGTATCAGCGTCTTGTAAAGTGTGAGTTTGGTCTGGCGGGAGGTGGCCTTGTTTCTAAACTGCTTACTTAGACCATAGTGGCATCGGTTGGCCATCACAATCCTTCTCCGAATTTCAAAACTGATGTCATTCGTTTTATTTATGGCGGTACCAAGGTATATAAAGTCTTTAACTACCTCGAAGCTGTAGTTCTCATGTTCCACAGTTGGTCCGAGTCTACTGGACGTCTTGCGCGTTGATACCATCAGCTTGGTCTTCTCGCCGTTTACTGCCAGACCCACTTTGGCAGACTCCTTTTCAATTTGTTCAAAGGTGGCTGTTACCGCTCGCAATGTTCGACCCATTATATCGATGTCATCGGCGTAGGCGAGTAACTGGTGTGGTTTGGTGTACAGAGTGCCATTTCTGTTCACCTTTGTGTCTCGTATGACCTTTTCCAGTAGGATGTTAAAAAGATCACACGACAAACTGTCACCTTGCATGAATCCTCGTTCGGTATTGAAGGGCTCAGATAGGTCCTTTCCTACTTTAACGGCTGACCTTGTGCCACTTAAAGTTATCCTGCATAGCCGTATTTATTCTGCAGGATTGCCGAACGCAGACATGGCTTTAAACACCTCTGAACGGATAGGGCTGTCGAATGCGGATTTATAGTCGACATATAGGTGGTATGTGTCGATGTGTTTTTCGTGGATCTTTTCCAGGATTTGGCGCAGAGTGAAAATCTGGTCAATGGTGGATTTGCCAAGTCTGAAGCCGCATTGGTATGATCCGATGATGTCATTGACCATTGGCTTCAATCGTTCACACAGCACACTGGATAGCACTTTATATGCGATGGGAAGGAGACTTATTCCTCTATAGTTGGCACATATCGTCTTGTCTCCTTTTTGTGCACGGGACACAGGATGCTGAGGTTCCAATCATTGGGCATGCATTCATCTAGCCAAATTGTGTTAATCAGCTGGTGCATGCTCCTGACCAGCATCTGGCCACCAGTCTTGAATAGTTCGGCTGGTAACCCATCGGCTCCTGCTGCTTTGTTGTTCTTGAGCCGATTAATTGCTTTTATGACCTCATCTTGGCTAGGTGGTATACACTCTATACCATCATCTCTTATTGGTTCTGGGGTATCTTCTTCATCGCCACTATTTGATACTAGTAGCTTTTCGAAATGCTCCTTCCAGATCCTCAACACGCTGTCTGTATCTGTCACCAGGCTTCCTTCTTCATCTCTACAGGAGGATGTGCCTGCCCCAAAGCCTTCGGTTTGGTGTTTTACTCGTTGGTAAAATTTCCGGACTTCATTCCGACTCCTGTACATCTCGATTTGCTCACGCTCACTCACGAAGCGACCAGAAAAACCGACAAAAATAAAGTTTTTGGTCCATTTCATCGCCTAAATATTAATCGACCTTTTCCAAAAACAATAGGGGTCTTCATTGGCCAGAACCCATCCTACATGCAAAATTTCGTGAAGATTGGTCCATAACTGTGACCTGTATCGTGTTTACAAATTATAATGGACAGACGGACGGACACACATGCCTATATCGACTCAGTTCTAGGACTAATATTTCGCGGCGTTACAAACATTTGGGGCTGCACAAAGCTATAATACCCTGACAACATAGTTGTGTAGGGTATAACAAAGGGTAAAAATAATTTAAAACCAGTGAGCGGAGCAGTATAGTCGGACGGGGCCGACCATACGATACCCTACACAACTACCACTGAACTCAAATTTTCTACGGATGTGTATTCCGAGCCTGGGCAATATTTCGTGATATTTGCACACTCTTGCCCGATTAGAGGTAAACAGCACCTCTTCCTCACACTGACATATTTTCCGAATATTACGAGTATTCAGTACAGTTATTGTCCAGATTCCCTTCACCGTGGGTTGTGTTGTTGTAGATCGACTCGAAAATAACACAAAAAAAATTAAGTTTTCGGTCCACTTAATTCCAAAATTATTATCTGATCATCACCGAAAATTAAAGGCGTTGTCCTTGACAATAACTGGAACCTCATGAAACATTTCAAAGCGATCAGCGCTATGTTCGGCTCTCTAGAGTGATAATGGGTTACTAAATAAAATACAAATACAGAGATACCTGTAAATATTTAGGTGTAACTCCCACATCAGAGCACATGCGACAATATAATTGGTCTTAATTTAAAGGTCAACCACTCCTCTTGGATATAATATCAATTTTTCGGGTCTATGTCCTTCAGGGGTAAATATATACGCTATAGAATACAAATTTTGTCATTTTTCACACAAAAGTCAGGGTCCATTTGACATGCTAAATATTGACCGATCTTTATCAAAACAGGCATGCTTATTCTTTGGCCCGACCCCCTTCTCCATGCAAAATTTCATGATGTTCGGGTCATTATTGCGGCCTGTGGAGCGACCAGAAAAACCGACAAAAATTTAGTATTTGGTCCATTTCATCCCCTAAATATTAACCGATCTTTCCCAAAAACAATAGGGGTCTTCATTGGCCAGAACCCATCCTGCATGCAAAATTTCGTGAAGATTGGTCCATAACTGTGGCCTGTATCGTGTTTACAAATTATAATGGACAGACGGACGGACGGACGGACGGACGGACACACATGTCTAGATCGACTCAGCTAGTCGAGATATGACGATCGGTATACTTAAAGGTGGGTCTAGGACCAATATTTAGCGGCGTTACAAACTTTTGGGGCTGCACAAAGCTATAATACCCTGACAACATAGTTGTGTAGGGTATAATAAAGGGTTCTCTACCCTCATTATCCCACCGAAGTGGCTGTATATCAATGGATTAAAGTTTTCTTCAAAAACTAAATATTTTAAATATTTTTTTAACAAACCGCGTTTGCCAGACTTATTGAAAGGTATTTGTTATATATTTGTATATCTGATGACGTATGACAGATGACGATTACAACAAAAATATATAAGCTATACATATAAGTATTTACAAAATCTATAGACACGTTCGGGATAGATGACTAATTTTTAGGCCACACAAATATGCGAAAACTTCACGAAGCAATTTGTTGTTCAAATTTATGTTGTTGTATTTGTTGTTTACATCATAAAAAAAGTGTTTCGCTTTTATTTCTATGTAGTTTAAGAAGCTTTGTTTTCTTGTATTAGAAAATTTTTTATAAACTACTGGACGTCGCCGAGATCAAAATAATAATTCATTTGATATAGAAGTATTGCCGCTGCAAAATGTATGTAAAGATTTTTTTTTGTTATTTCTTTAAGATAAAAATATTTTTTTCAATTTCAATTCTCAAGCTTTAAGTTCGAATAAATGCCAACTGGAATATGGTATGCTATTCTCGATTCAATTAATCGGCATTGAAATTATATTCTCAAATAGGAAGCCATTGCATTCTTCAAAGACTATCACAGAAATACTGTGGAGAAATACGACCATGTCAAATTAATTCGAGAACTAATTGTCATTGCATTACATGCAATACATCTTATGAATAATACATTGCAAATTCAATAAATTATAGTAATTACATTATTTGAAATTCAGATAAATATTTTCTATTTCGATGTATTATTTATATGTTCTCAAAAAAATCAATAAAGTTTTTCTTTAAGAAAATTTTTTCTATTTGAGAGAAAATACAGTTTCATAAATCTATAGAAGAAATAGTTTTCTGTTTGAGAAAGAAATCAAATATATTTTATAATGAGGAAAATGTCAGCCAATCTTAAAAACCAGTGAGCGGAGAAGTATAATCCGGACGATAGTTTCACCCTCTAGTGTGATAATGGAAATACTAAATAGTACTGCATGTATGTACTGTAATGTAGACCCTCTTGTATATAGCATTTA